AGCTTCCCATGGGCATGGACAGGTAGGCAGGGGCTGTGTCTGGTCGATCACCTCAGTGCCAGAATACGGAGTGCTCTGCTGGGCAGGAACATCATCAGGTCCAGGTTGTCCAAATGCCCCCAAGACACTTTCCTCACTTTCTATAAAGGAAGCAGCCTCTTCCCTCAGCCCCAGGCCAGCACGGTAAGCATCTGTGTGCTATTCCACATCACTCTCGCCTTCTCTCCTGTGACATCAATGTATCCATAACCTGAAGTTCTGCAAGTCAGTCCAGCTTCTTCCTACACTACAGCCCGTCCGCACATATGCCTCAGCTGGGCCTTCCTCCACACTGCTTCATGAATAACCAAACCTCCCATCTGTTTTTCATCTGACGGTTCCTTCTCATTTGTTGTTTTAGGGGTTTCTTTTTTATTACTATCCCTTTGATAGGGTATTTATTAGAAGGGAGATAAGATAAACAATTACAGTTACCCTGGCATCTGGTCTATGTATTCACTCTTGTCAAAACCCAGGTTGCATCCCTTGGCCTAACCTAATGAATTCTATCAGGCCAATCAACATACAACTCTACAACTCCACGATTGTAGTGTAAAGCAACCAGAGGTAGTTAAAGTATGGGTATGGCTGTGTTCCAACAAAACTTTATTTACAAATATAAACAGTGTCAAAACTCTCTCTTCAACTGGACTGAAATAAAGTTTTACTCTATCATTTTTAGCTTATCTATATATTTTCTTTCATTAAAGCAAGTTGATGAAAAGTTTAGTATTTGTATCAGCAAGTGAGAAAAATGAATAGAATGAGAAGCCTGTACCTGAATTTACTTATATATACCAATAGCCTCATGTATGCCAAGTACCAACACACTATAACATACTATTCTTGAAACCACTTATAGAGATTCTTACTGGAAGCTTTAGTAATAACAAAAAGCAAATAAATATAATTTTCTATATTCACACAGTAACAATTTTGTTCTACTGTGTCAACTTCGACTTCTGTGATAGGGACCAACTTTACAAAAAAAATAAGGTTATGGAAACTGATCTATTTAAGACAAACACATGTTTTGTAGGTTATTCATAGGAAAATTTATTAGGTACAAATGTATGGTACATTCAATGGTAGATTCCACTTACTACTCAAATGATGTATGTACCTAAAATAGAAAACCTATAGTAATTTCAACATAAGCGTATGCTTAATATAAATGATAAAACAAATTCACTGTTAAAGAACTGCATGATTCGTCTCCATGCTAAATAAATGCAATTATCCATAACATTGTTTCAGTAAGTGAACCAGCTGCCTACCTCACATAACAAAAATCCAAATTATGAAAAGCATAGTTTCTCCCCGTCCTTTGAGAAAAGTTCAAAATAGTAAATTTTCAACTTATTAATGGAAAATACAAACAAAAATATGCAGGCTATCAAAGGGGTATACTGGTGTGTAGTCTTTGGTCTTGTGTAAACATGTAGAACTGCATTGTGATCTCACAATTAATCCGAGACTGCAGGGCAGTACAAATCAAAAAATTCTGAAACCTATTAATTAATTAATTGGCATAGATTCAAAATATTTAATTTTATCTACACTCCACTGTTTTCACCTTTGACAGACTGTTACAATAAGAATATTGGTCTTATGTCTCAAAGTCAGATGGGGAAAGAAGTAACACATTAAATATTTACCACTGACAATCTTTACAGTCTCATTTAACTGCCACAGCAATTCTGTAAACTTATTAGTGCTATCCCCATTTTTCAGATAACCAAGATAGTCAAGCCAGACCTAAAATCTAAGTCTTTTGACTTTTAGTCTAGAACTGTGTTTCCACAACACACTTGCTTCTGGAAGTTTCAGAAATCATCTCATTCAGCACTTTCCAAATTAAATTCCATGAAACTCAAAGAGTCACTAAGACCTTAACAAATGTTCTGAGAAACAGGGACTCTGGGGTTCAAAGGTTTGGGACAATTTACATCAGAATTTCCCAGAACTTTAATAGACACATTATGACTCTCCAAGAAGGCAATAAAATGGGAAGTGTTCCGCTAATTTATTACACCATGAAGACCTTTTTAAAAGAAAACCTAATAATATCCCAGGGGATCCTTGGGCTCAACTAAGCAGAGTTTGGAAAATGATCATCTCCAGTCCAATCTCTTCTTTCCATAGTTTAATACAATGAGGTACAGGAAGGTTAAATGACTCAGTCAGGCCACACAGAAAGTTACTAACAGGGCCAGGGCTGGCACTAAGGCAGCCTGATGATCCCAGCATAGAGGATGCTCTTCCTCTATGGCATCTTGTCTCCTCACTTCAATCCTGTTTCTATAAAGTTCAATGCCAACTAAGAGGGGGAAAAAGTATTACATCAATCATTCTGATTCTTCTGAATGGCTGCAGAGACACCATCTACAGACAGTAAGCTCAAAAACAGTCTAATTCCCACTGCACTAGTATTTCAGATATATCTGGAAATGTGGAAAATGATTCCGCTTTAATACTGAACGCTTTTCAGCCAAGTACTGCTATGCTCATGTTTTTCTTTGAAGTTAGATAGAACTGCACCCTAGTACTGCATGCAGACACCGCCAGAATTAACAATATCCCATTTGTGACCATCTTTATAAAGAGCAACTTGTTTATTGCTGTGCCCTTAGCCCCTTACTCTAAAGGGGATCCCTTTCACTTTGTTCTACCCCTTCCTGACAGCACGGACAGTCCTGGGCCAAGGATGCCATCTGGCGTTTAGTTCAAGAATTGTATCACCCCACATGCCTTCCAATTAGTCTCTCACCACCTGGCCCCTCTCCAAAAGCACGCTCCCCTTTCTTCCAAATCTTGCCCATTTACCTCAGGAAAACTTTTTTTCTTCTTTTCTGCTGTTCATCCCAACTACGTGAAAAATAGTATTTGTGACATTCTACTTACAGAAAAATCATGAGTCTGAAATACACTTTGTAGCTAAAGGAAAAGCTACAGTGAGTAGCCAATATACAATACAGCCTGAGAAATGCCCTAATAGAGAGAGACCTGCCTCAATGGAGTTTGTTAGAATGTCTATTATTCATCCAGTGCCTTCTAAGAATATCAGCGCTGAAAAGGGCCTTGAAGATCACTGCTGGACTAAACTGCTTCATGTTACAACTAAAGAAACTGGCCCTGTGAGAAAGAAATGAAGCAACCACCGGCCCAACAGCACAGTGAGAGTTCACGGCAGAGCCAAGATTAAGGCCTGAGACTCCACTCCAAAGCCAGTGCTTGACACCTATGGCCATATGCTCCAGGCTCCTCAAGACTATTTTTCCTCAACTAATATTCAAACACTGTATGTAATATTATATTCTCCTTAACTAATTTATACTAATTATAATGTTATGAATGATGAGGGCAGGGCTCCTAATTAAATCTCCTCAATGCCACCCCTAAGAGCGCTAAGAATACTTCCTAAATACTCATTTGCTATTTTTTGTCTGTCATTAATTACTGTACCTATTGCAAAGCTAGAATACCTTCACCATCTCATGCATTAGAGATGCTTTAATCTGTTTAGAAAACCTAACTACCACTGTATAACACTGTTCTATGAAAAACTGTTCCCAGAATCATAACATTGTAACCTTTTGGAACATAATCCATTGAGAAATCTGGGACTTCTTGTTAGGAATTCCTGTCCACCTAATCAGTCTTGATCAAACAAGGATGAAAAAGAAAATGTATGTAGCATGAAGGGAAAAAAACAACCAATTTTGAAGACAATGGGAATTTTAGTGCCAGCTGCATTACAATCACAAGACTTTATTTAGGCAACCTTAATTTTGTCTGCCATAAAATAATCCTCAACCCTAAGTTCAGATAGGATATGTGCAAACATTTTATAAATTACAGATATCAATAATGATTACAGTTATTATAAATAATGGTAATTTATATTTTAAACCCTATGACTAACCACTTTACATACAGTGTGCCATGTAATTCTTAGAGCCCTAGTTTACGGATGAGAAAAACCAAGGCTTATCAAGTCAAGAAACTTGTCCGGGGTGGAATGCTAAGAGCTGAGGAATTCCGGATTAGAGTTTAGGTCTGAAAGTCCAGAGCTGGTAACACTAATAGGTGGGGGATAATGAAAGACCGACTTTACAGGAAAGGAAACAAAAAACAAAAAGCTACTCCCCACCCCCAATAGCTGGGGCTCTGAAGTCAATGAAGCATGAAAGCAACTCAACCGACCTCGCTATTTTCAGGTTATAGCTAATCTCCAGTGAAGTATCTGGGTGCAAAGAAAAACAAGAAAAAACGGAGCCCTGAGTCCTGTCTCGTCTTAGTCGGCCAGTTCAGTGCCCTGATAGTCCCTCGCTCTCTAGGGCTGGCCCTGTTCAATTTGGGAAGGGGAGAGGGGCTACCCTGGAGCCAAATAGGCTCGTGATCGTGGATTTCATTCAAGGTGTCAACTTCTGAGTGTGAATTCATTACTCTGGAAGAAGATCATCAGAGTTCCCCCGGCAAAGCACTACAGGACCAGACATCTCCAAAGTTCTGCCAGCCTCTCCAATAGCCGGCAGCCTCCAGGAGGTGGAGCTTTGTTACGCGCACCCAGAGGGCGGGCTCTGCGCCAGGCCGTTTATTACTCAGTATAGTGAACTCAATACGGCTGCCGGGGGTGGGCTAATCCCTGCGGGGCCGCCGCGGGGCTGCCGCGGGGCTTCGGGAAGGACGGTTGGCCGCGCCCCGGGCAACGGGGTGCCACTTGCAGTCCTGCGTCTCTGCGCTCCGCCTTTGGGGACTTAAACCGCCGCTCACTTCACAGGCGGCTCTGATGGCTCGGCGCGCCCTCCCCCTCCTCCCCCTTTGCAGGCAGGTGGTCTGCGCCGTGAGGCCTCAGCGGAGAGACCAAAGGAAGGAGGGAGGGAGGCCGCGCGGACGGTACACGTTACACCCGGGCCTCTTCCACCGCGCCGCGAGTCTGGCTCCTGCGAGCTACTTACTGAAGAAGAGGCGATAACCGGGCGAGGGGGGCTGGCCGCGCTCCTCCGTGCGGTACAGGGCCATGGTGCGGCGGGAACCGGGCCTTGCGCTCGCTACCCTCGGCAGGAGGGCAATGACGAGGGGGCCCGCGCGACAACCCCAGCCGATGCGCAGCAGAGGCGAGAGAGCTCGCATGGCGTCGCGGGCGGTACGGCTCCTCGCGGGGTGGTGCCCAGGCCGAACCTAGCCCGGCTGCGCGCCGGCGCCCCCTACCGCCCGGAGTCGTCACTCCCGACCCGGGTGTGAGTTCTAGATCTCCAGGACCACGCTGGCTCTGGAGACTCTGATCCGAGAAATCAGAGCGCTCATCGAATTGCCAGTAATGCACACTGCACCCCCAGAGAGCCCGGGATTCAAAGATGAGCAAGACAATGTCCACCCCCCCCCCCGAGGAGCTCACTGCTATTTATTAAAGCATAAATGCATTCATTTTTGCACTCAACCAGTCAATATTTACTATCATAATATTTTTATTATAATGATATAATATCGAGGGACGACTCTGTGCCAGGCGCTATTCTAGATCCTGCTCAACGTGGGCGACAAGTATACACGCACACAAAAACATTATCATAAGATGTGATTAGGCGTCCTTTTGAAGACAACCTTGATACTGACCTGTAGAGCAAAAACAATTACTTCCCATCCCCTCCATGAAATTCTTATTTAACCCAAGTAAAGGTGATTTATTCTTCCTTTTTCTTACATTTTCACTTCTCTATTGGCACTTGGTACTGTACCTATATGTTTGTGAACCCATCATATTTCCTGTTTCACCCTGGACTGTCAACGTGCCAAGCATTTAGGACTCAAAATTTAGTACCCTTTCAGGATCTGGCTCCATGCCTTGCATCTGATAATGGTATCATTGTTGGGTTAAATTGCTCCTGGAACTCCTCACCAGACCTTCCTCATTAGCATATGAAATTCTAGCTATCAACTTTTTGGAAATACTTGTGGAAACAACTGTGCATAGGCATGATCTCCACTTCCTCATATTCTTTCCTCATCCCAGTCCAAATGGCTTCCTCCACCTTCTCAAGGTCATCAAATGACCTTGTTGTCAAACATGAAAGTCAATTTTCAATGAATTGGAGTGAGAGAATCCTGAAAAAAAGCAGCAAATAAGATTTTTAAATTAGAAATTAAAACTTTAAAAAAATTAAACATTTTACTTATTATTCTACAAAAGTAAAAACAAGAAGAGTAGCAATTCTACAAAAAGACCAAAAAAGTGTACTTGAGATCTTTGTAAAACCTAAGTGAAATGGTTTTAATTAAAAGAGAAGGCATTTTAGCCCTGGTCGAGTGGCTCAGTTGGTTGGAGCATTGCTCTGTACACCAAAAGGTTGTTGGTTCAGTTACCAGTCAGGGGACCTACCTAGGTTGTGGGTTCTATCCCCAGTCTGGGCAAATATGGAAATCAGTGATCAGTGCCCCCCGCCCCACCTCACTCTCTAAAAAATCAATAAAAACATAACCTTGGGTGAGAATTTAAAAAAAAAAATGCATTTTGCAGGCTCAGCTGGTTGGGTTGGTCGTCCTATACACCAAAAGGCTCTGGGGTCCATTCCCAGTCAGGGCACAGACCTAACTTGCAGGATTGATTCCCAGGTAGGGATGCATACAGGAGACAACCGGTTGATGTTTCTTTCTCACATTGATGTTTCTTTCTCTCTAAAATCAATAAACGTATCCTTGGGTGAGGATTAAAAAGAGAGAGAGCCCTGGTTGGCGTGGCTCAGTGGATTGAGTGCCGTCCTGCAAACTAAAGGGTGGCCGGTTGGACTTCCAGTCAGGGCACGATCCTGGGTTGCAGGCCAGGTCCCCAGGAGGGAGTGAATGAGAGGTAACCACACATTGATGTTTCTCTCCCTTTCTTTCTCCCTCCCTTCCCCTCTCTAAAAATAAATAAATAAAATCTTTTAAAAAGAGAGAAGGCATTTTAAAAATAATTTCTTGAGGAGCTACTCATAGACTGCGTGGGCTAGTTGTCTTTGGTGGGTCAGGTGGAGCTGAAGCGTGTGTGGGTCCCAGAGGGGCAAGCCTTACCAAGGCCTGCAGCTGTAGCTGGAGTGAAGAGTGGATGAGGGCAAGCTTCACTGGTACCATCTTGGCAGACTACTTGGAGTTGTAGCTGGAGTGAGCTCAGGCCTCAGGTAGCCCCAGGGGCAAGCCACACTAGGACCTGGAGCTGAAGTTGGATTGGATGTGAGCTGTCAGGATTCCCAGAGGTAAGCCATGGGGGCTGTAGCTAAAGCTGGTGTGGTCTGCAGGAAGTCCCAGGGACAAGCCACACCTAAGCGAGAGCTGTAGCTATGGCTGGTGCAAGCTGCAGGAAGTCCTGGGGGCAAGTCACAGCTAGAAGCTGGAGCTGGAGCATGCGGCAAGAAGACCTGTTTCTGTGTGGTCTCTCTTTTGTATGCTGTGCAGAAGCTGTTTAGTTGGCTCTCAGTTCTTCAGGAGAATTACTCTGTCTGTACATGTAGATTTGGTGTGTTCCTGGGAGGAGGTGATTTTAGGATCCTCCTATGCTACCATTTTGGACCAGAAACCAAGTTAAATTTAAAATTCATGTGGAAATGCAAAGGACTTAGACTAGGCAATTTGTCTTTCACCACCTGGCTTATTTCATTTAGCATCATGCTCTCCAGTTCCATCCATGCGATCACGAAGGGTAGGAGCTCCTTATTTCTTTCTGCTGCATGGTATTCCATTGTGTAAATGTACCATAGCGTTTTGATCCACTCATTTACTAATGGGCACTTAAGTTGCTTCCAGTGCTTGGCTATTATAAATTGTGCACTATGAACATTGGGGTGAATGGGTTCTTTTGAATTGGTATTTCAGGATTCTTAGGGTATAATCCCAGAAGTGGAATTGCCAAGTCAAGAGGCAGTTCCATTTTTAGTTATATATCTATTGAGGGCTTGCATCAGGATATATAAAGAACTCTCAAAAATCAGTAAGAAGAAAACAAGTGACCCAATATAAAATGTAAAAAAGATTTGGACATTTAAAAAAACATATGCAGATGACAAATAAGCAAACAAAATCATTTTCTACGTCATCAGTCATTTGGGAAATACAAATTTAAATGACAATACACTACCACCATACACCTACCAAAAACAAAAAAAAATAATTTCTTAAAATACTGTAATAAAAATAGTGTTAAAAAGCACAATGAATACATAAATTCGTGAAAAATATGATTCTTACTTAAAATCCTGGTTCTTACAAGATAAGACAAACATGTTATGTAGGTTATATTAAATTATAGTAGTTAAGTCACAATTACACATCTGATCCTAGCCTAAACTAATTAACTTCACTCTGTTCCATGGCTACAAACTAGACCCTCTGGTTATTAATGTTAACAAAACAGACAATTTTTAAAAATTGCTTTAAAGCTTTATAATAATCTGAAAGCAAAAATTCTAAGATGATTCCATCACCATCATGTAACGTTATATAGAGAGAATAGTACTTTTATCTAGGCAATGGTCAGCATTTTGATCAACGTAAATGCTGGAGGTAGGTGATACTGTGCAGTCCCATGTGAGGGAACCTAGGTATTTCTATCTTGTTGCTCTGATGTGTTTGATCTCCCCTGCTAAAGTAATCCTCAGCATTCAAAGTAACTGCTACAAGTTGAACCATCACATCCTAATTTAACCTAGCAAGAAAAAAGAAGAAAAAAATGGGGATTGGAGGTCATATTCTAGGAAAAAATATATCCTAGTAATTGCATACACCACTTTTACTTTCATCCCAATAAGCAAAACTTAGTCTACTGGCCACAACTAATAGCCTTTTTTGTGGGTGGCCATAAGCCAAGGTAAAAATTTGGAGCCATACTACTACAGAAGAAAGGAAACATGAATATTGGAGAACAATCAGCAGTTTGCCACAAAATGTCTATTTCTTTCCTTACAGTACAACTTCTTTGGAAAGTTCTATGAGAACTTTATACATTTCTATTTCAATTGTGAACAAGGTTCACATTCTTCCCTAGTGGGCACCTGAGTTCTTTCTACATCTCCAGTTATTTTGTGATAGTTAAAAGCAGGAGACTGTTCTACCCAAGTTCCAGAAACCATCTCTTGCAGGGGTATCCAACCTGCAGCCTGCAGACCACATGCAGCCTAGAATGGCTGTGAATGCAGCGCAACACAAAATTGTAAATCTACTTAAAACATTATGAGATTTTTTTGTGACTACACGTTGCAATGTATTTAATGCATGGTCTAAGACAACTCTCCTTTTCTCAGTGTGGCACAAAAGATTGGATACTCCTGAATATTGTCATGAACCACTTCGACTGTGCTTAGATTGTAAGTCTAAAATGTTTTTGTCAACAGTGGTGGCTTTGTAGTATGTCAAATTGACTAGATTAAACTCTAAGGCAGACTAAGGCAAACTTTGCTGTAACAAAAGAGAGAAATTTCTTTTGTGCATAAATCACAATAGCTGTATTATTTTATTGTTTTCTTGTGAAACAAAAAAAGCTTCATTGTTCTGTTAACGTTTGAAGTTAAGATGTTTCAACAAGACAAAATCCTAATGAGACAGTTGTGGGTTAATTCTAATGATTTTAGATCTTATAGAGTCATAGGACAAAATAAAATATTCCAGGTGTCTGATTTTTAGACATGTTATTGCTTCATGGCATTAAAAACAATAGCTTAAAAAATAGCTTCTTTAGGAAAAGGTGAAGAGAAGAATTTTCCCTGGAGTATTCTTCTTCAGATTAACACTGTTCACTATTTCCTAGCATTTGCATTTATCCACTGGGAGAATCTAATATAGTTCTGAGGGCCCTCTTGCCAATAGCTTTCTTAATTCTGGCAAAATATCTTATTGGTAACTGCCAACAAGTTATGTGCATCCTGATTTGAAGGAGCCAATAATAATATTAAATATTTTTAATGTTTACTTAAAATATGTATAAATTACAAAAACTTTATAAATTACATCTTAAAATGTTACCAAGTTTATTAGACATTCAGTAAAGGAAACAATGAATTGTTATTGTTTTCACTTATTGTTAATCACTTATATCCCCATCTTTCATTCCCTACAATTTACTGAAATAGTTGAGAATCAGAATTAAGAGTATGTAATATCAATGATAAGAAGTAATACTAGGTAAAGCAGGTTATCATCTTTAAAATTTTTAACTATGAATT